CGAGTCCTTTTTCTTTGGTTCATTCAGATGTTTGGGGTCCTTATAAAGTGATGTCATACAATGGATATAGATATTTTGTCATTTTTGTTGATGATTATTCAAGGATGATGTGGCTCTATTTAATGAAAGAAATGAGTGAATTGTTTACCATCTTCCAAAAATTTTATGATGAGATTCACAACCAATTTGGTGTTCACATTAAATTTTTTCGTTCCGATAATGGCCGTGAATATTTTTCATCATTTCAAGAATATTTGGACCAACATGGCATTATACATCAGACCTCATGTACCTACACCCCACAACAAAATGAGGTGGCTGAGAGAAAGAATCTTCATCTTTTGGAAACAACTCGATCCCCCATGCATCACATGAATGTTCCCAAACCTTTTTGGAGTGATGCGGTGCTTACTTCTTGCTTCTTGATTAATCGGATGCCCACATCTATCCTCGATGGCCATTCCCCATTCACTACCTTGTTTCCCACTTTGTCTCCGTTTCCTCTTTCTCTTCGGGTTTTTGGGTGTGTCTGCTTCGTCCATAATCTGGGCCCCAGGAAGGACAAGTTAGATGCACGATCCATTAAGTGCATCTTCCTTGGCTATTCCCGGACCCAGAAAGGGTATAAGTGTTATCATCCTAGTTCTCGGCGTTCCTTTGTGTGTGCTAATATTACCTTCTTTGAGTCTACTCTGTTTTTCTTGGGGTCCGATGATGTTTCTTCCTCCTCATCACCTCCTCCTCTTCCACTTCCAATTGCAGATTTTGTTCCTCTTGTTCCAGCTGTGACCAAGTCCTTTCCTCCAGTGCCACCACATGTTGAACGACCACCTATCCATCAAGTGTATAGACATCGCCCACATGTACCGGCTGCTCCTCCTTCAGTGCCACCACCTGTTGAACCGCCACCTTTTCGCTTCCCATCGCCAGTTTATCTATTTGTTATCCTCAATTGTTGTCCCTAAGGATGTCTAGGAAGCCCATGCCTCTCCAGGATGGTGTCGTGCAATGGAAGAAGAACTCTCAGCTCTAACTCATAATCATACTTAGGACGTCACCACTCTTCCTCCTGGGAAGCAGGCTATCGGTTGTAACTGGGTTTATACTGTTACACAGAGACCTTCTCCCCAGTTGGTTGCAAAAGGGTACTCCCAAACCTATGGTATTGACTACACAGAGACCTTCTCCCCAATTGCTAAGATAGGTTCGGTTCGTGTTGTGATCTCTCTTGCTGCTATGTATGATTGGCCCCTCTATCAGCTTGATATCAAGAATGCTTTCTTGCATGGTAATTTGCTCGAAGAGGTCTATATGGAGCAACCACTGGGGTTTGTTGCTCAGGGGGAGGATGGTAAGGTATGCAAACTAAAGAAGGCTATTTATGGACTTAAA